GCATGATGCATAAAGACGCGTGTTATATTAAACTATAATTAAGCAGACAAATTGCCATTAATCTAGTTGAACATTGTCTATATGTTTTTTTGCCTGCGAATATTTTCTATATTTAAATAGTATCATAAAAGATATGACGAGGAAGTGTTAATTGACTCCCTCCAATATTAAATATATAAGTTACCATTACGTAGCTCGTATATTAATTAATTAAAGGTAGTTTAACTAATCAAATATATTTTTTCAGGCAAAAAAAAAAAGCTAATCAAATAACATCATATGTGTGTTAAAGCACAATTATTTTTTCATATATTATGTTTAATTATAATAAATTGTTTATCTTTCTTCATATTAAATTGAAATATTTATATTCTTAATGCGATGATAACAAATTGTACTAACGCCCGGTTAATATTATGGACCCATTTAGAATAACTTATAAGTAACTTTTTAATCGTACTTTATAAAATATGAGGTAAACACGTTAGAGTAGTTTTATCTTGACTTGTGTAAAAAGTGCTTATAAGTGTTTTTTTAACGTTATTCCAAACATGTCCTATGTAGATTTAAGGTAAAAGAAAAGAGATTATCTGATTCATAAAAGTCGAGAAGATCAGATGAGAGCAATTAATAGTGTACGTTTGCCTTTATTGCAACTAATTGATTAATTCCCGTACCAAATTAAGATAATATGTAAATATATTCATATATTATCGTAAAAATAATAGTAAAATAATATTACTTCAAACCTAGTAAGGGAAGAAATATATATATATATATATATATATAATCCAAATCAGTCAGCCCGTCTAATATCGACTAGTTTGACAAATCGACTTGGATTAGCTTTTAATATTATGAATAATGGATGTTTTAAGCATTTTTCATTCACGAATCATCAATAGTGTAACTTATATTTTGAATTCCATAAACAATTCACCAGGTTTATAATAAATGTTATTTATACAAGCTCCATTCGAAACAGATCAGATCTAATCCTGGTGCGGCAAGAGCCAGCTGCTTTGTATCATTTATTTCTCTGTAATGATATATATATATATATATATATTCATTACAAGTAAATTAATTACACACATATATTTTGAGAGTATTTGAAATAGAAGAAAGAATATAATAAATTTCACATCTTGCAATAGATAATTTATCCCACACAGTATATTGTGAAAAAGTAAAAATTAGAGTGTCTAAATAATTACAATACGTAGGTAAAAAACATTAGATTCCTCTTGTTATATTTATAAGGTAAAGAGTATTTTTTTTAATATAATTCATTTTATTAAATTTATTACATTAATGTACAGTTTCACTCTTAATTTATTATTCTGTTAGTTGTTATTTTCTTAAAAAATATATTATATATATTTGCCAGCATATATATATATATATATATATTAAGGACAGTACTTAAATCCAGTTTATTATATCCATCATATTGAGTTTTTCAATTACACATACTATATCTCCTATTTTTGAAATAGTAACATTTAATTGTTAATCCACATTAAACAAAAGGACACACGATCATGTGTAATTGAAAAACTTGATATAATAAATATAATAAATTTGATATAAGTATTTTTCAGTATGGATAATAATAAAAAATATTAAATTTTAAGATAGAATTAATAATATTTAAAACAGAGTAAAATGAGATTGATCTATATTTTGTCAAGCTTTTATACGTTCGGGAAATAAAATAAAAATGAAATAAAACTAACGGAAATGAATATTTCTAAAAAAATCATATAAAATATAAAATATATTACTCACTGCTAGTCACTACCATGTACTAAATAGAACCTTGAAATTCTTGTACCGAAGAAAAAAGAACCTTGAAATTCTCAAAATTAATTGTTGATTGGCATGACTTGTAGGTGAGAATGGAAGAATCCAACTACCCCACAAATTTTTGGCCAAAAAAAAAAAAAAAAGAAACTACCCCACGAATTGGCAAACCTATCAATCACTGTATATTATCCAGACCCCATGCCCCACACACGCACCCATATCCATTTAGCTAGTCCAACTTTCCTTACAAAGTAATTTAATTAACAGGGAAGGTACGTGCGGAGTCACTTTGATAATTATTCTCATTATAGGGTAATTATATTTGTGATTATCTTATTTAAGAGATTTCACTTTTACGGTTGATCCACGATCAGTTGCAACATTTCTATGTCATCTAATTAAATTGGACTTGTTACCACAAATTTTTTTTAAGAAAATCAAGATTATTAACGTGGATAGCATTATTTTTTTATCATTAATTTATCAGTTAATTATGGTGTGTACGAGACTTTTTTTTTATGTATTTATTTACGTCCCAATTTTTTTCTCTCTTTCATGAAGCAGCTATATACATAGAAAATTATCTATTGCAAAAAGATCTACACAATAAATCTCGTACATTGCAGGAGATATATTCATAGACACAGTTTTATTGTTATTTTTCTGAAAAGTATGCATATTTATATATATTAAATAGGTGTGAAGCTGAAAATTTGTTAAATTTTAAAATGGAGTATAAATTTTAAAATTTTTCTTGACTAATTAAAAACAAACAATTAATTGGGTAATAAAAGGGTATTTTAGTAATCGTTTTGACACATTTGGATGGAGTGCCCCTTGGGGTGCGTGCATCTTTGCTTCGTTCTAAAATAACTATTGGTTATAGACATAATGTATTCGGAAAAAAATTAAGTAGCTAGATTATAGATAAATAATGTCACGTCTTGAACACCACAACTAAAAATCACGTTTATTATATTTATACTTTATTGATTTCGATATATAACAAATGGTCAAAAATCCGTACTCCCTAAATAGTGCTACGTCATTCCTTTTTTAATATAAGAACTAGTTTGATTTTCAATTTGGTCATAAATATAAGACCTCACACTATTTTATCTCTTATATTTATCATTTTTTCTAAAAAGGTCATTTTAGTAATTGCACATATTAAATGTCTTATCAAATAGTAGTTACAGTCAATACATATGATTAGTAAGAGTATTTTTTGGAAAACAACACATATTTATTACGAACAACTAACTTAACTAATTTTTTTAGTTTACTCGAATTAGTCAATTAGCTCTTATATTAAGAACCGGATATAGTATATTAATATAAAGATATCCGACTTGTTGGATAATTGTTGGATTAAAAGCAGGAAAAGAAGAAGAAGAAGAAAGGGATGAATTTTGAATTGCACGTGAATAAAATATGAAAAGATGTTTGCAAAAGACAATTAAAAAAGGTGAAATCAATGCAACTTTGGTGAAACGATCGAAGAAGCCATGTGACACTATAGGTGGCAATACATGAATGATATTAACGTGCACAGCTTTTACAAGTAATATCATAAAATCATGAAAAACTGAGGCCACAAGAATTGGCAAAGAAAAAACAGAAGATAAGGATATTTTCGAGGAAATTAAAAATATCCATAACAAAAGTACTGGTTCGTATAAATATATGGACGAATAATAATGGTAATACATATAGATAGATAGATATCTCTGTCAACAGTTTATTATTAGGTGCGTGTTTAAGAGAGCCATCGGTATCACATGTTCTTAAGTTCTTTGGCCAACATAAGACATATAGCTAGGTTGTCACCTACCACTTGTAATCGTGTGAAACTACAAATCAACAATAACAGCGACACACACCAATCATTCTTCTTCTTCTAGTCCCCTTTGAATGTTCGATCCACATACACAAACACATTCTTCCTTCATTCCCAATATTTCCACCTGGAAATTAGTTAAATATGTTGTAATACAATAATACATCACTTTTATTTAGTTATGACATAAGCATGATGATGATCTCGTATATCATTTCAATGAAAATATGAGGCTTTGATTATCTCATGTCAATATCGAAGGAATTTTCTTTCTTATTGAAATCTGTATGTATCGGTCGCATTTCCTGTCCAAATTCAACTCAAATAAATATATCCAACAGAATTATCATTTTTATTAACAAATGTGAATGTGTTATATAATTTTATATGATCATACTCTCTTTCCCAATTGTCAAATCATCATATCAACATATATACCAGAGTTTGATTAGAAAAGGATAGCACCAGTTTCAGATTATTGTTTTCATCCTAATTATTATATACTCTCTCTTGTCCTGAATATGAGAGCTAGTTATGTGATTTATTTTAATCTAAATATAAAACTTTAATCTATTTTATTTTCTAATTTTATAATTTTTTTTTATCTCAAACCATTTATATTGATTGCACACCTTAAAGAACTTATCGCTAAAATATAATTTTAAATATAAGAGACAAGGTGGATTATAATATCACTCACCAAGTGTTAAAATCTGGTTTTCTCGGTACTAATTAAGTATGCTATATAAGAGCTGTTTCAGATTTGTTAGGGAAATATATTATCACCTCTAATTAATCTTCCACCGGCTGGATTAAAATACGTGTACACGTGTCCTAAAATTAGCAGTAACAGATCCAAGGATTAATATATCTTAGTTAAAAGTTAACACAAAATAATATAGCAATCATTATAAGAAAAAGGTCGGGGGAAAAAGTTATGGATGATGTTCATGTAATCATTTTTACATGATTAGCCCTAAATAATTATAAAATGAAATCAATCTCAGGGTTTGTATGGCCCAGAAGATCTCAGAATTCACTTTTTACATTTTCATACGAAACTTGATTATAAAAATACATATAGGGGCAAATTCAAGTACCAATACAGTGTTTGGATCTTTTAAGAAATATGAAGAAAGATTTCCTTTCCTACTAGTAGGAATCATTGATCCTGTCTTTTGTTACGACTTCAGACTTCAGAAAGAGAGAAGAATCCGAAAATATTACTCAAATTCAAGCTATGAATATCATATTATTATGTAGTTTAATTTCTGCAGTAAACATGAACAAGCACTTTAATATAATATAATATATCTTCATGATAACACAGAGTAAAATAAAATGCAAGCACTAGGAAACAAAAAATTGAGTTATTCATTATGGTAATCACTTTTACATGAATAACAGTAAATAATTATAAGTACAAGTATGTTTAAGATTCGGTGGAAACAATCTCAGGTTTTACTCAGAACTAAAATTTCCAAGCATATCCAGCACTCCATAAGCAGCAATTCTGCCTCTTATTACCAGTCCATATGAAGAACTTCCAACTTCTTACAGGACAAGAAGAATTCATTATCATCAGTTTCTCCTGCAATGTTATAAAAGCCTACCCCACTTGTTATACTTTGATTAGAGAAACCCGATAGCAAACACGTAAAACCTATACCGGATCTACCCGAATTCCATCGGATTAGCGAAGTTTCTGTACTTGGTGATGATAAATTTATTGATCACTGAAACAGAAGTAGGGTTGGAGAGCAGGATGCTAATTGCGTAGGCCTTGGTGACTTCGATTCATGATGATGAATCGGCTTTTGGTCGTCTTCATAAGCAGAACTAGCGGGTATGGTTGAAGGAATGTTGATTGTGAGATCAAGGTTTAGATCAGGCAAGCTAGAGGACTCATCTTCCAAGCCACTTGCAGCATCTGAAACTTGTTCATAATTATTAATGTCGCCACCACTACCACCAGTTTTAGGCTTATTTGTTGGCTTAATGTTGTTCTTCTTCTTCTTCTTGGCATCTTTGGGTAATTTCAAGCCTGATGATTCTGAGCTACCAGACGTTGTTTGATTTTGAAGAGAAGGAAATTTGTGACTCAGTCTGTGATTATTTGGGTCGATTCCCATGTTGATGAGCTTCCTTCTCAGGTGAGAGTTCCAGTAATTTTTCACTTCATTGTCTGTCCTTCCGGGTAATCTTCCAGCTATCAGAGACCAACTATACAGAAAACAACAAAATCACAACGTTAATAACCATTAATCAAAGCTTTTGATGCTTAAAAATCCATGCTTTTTGCATATCTAATATACTTGTAAGAGTGATTTAATCTATCAAGTTCAAATCGTAGGTAAAAGTATCCTTCTGGATAGTACAGAGAGAGATACATACTCAAATGGGAATAAATGATAGAGGAATTCATTAACTTGTTGTACTCAAAGGGACAATATACTAGGAAATTAAAGCATAATTTAGATATTAAGGTGCAATTTAAGGAGATAACATGCACAGTTAAAATTAATGCTCTTCATTTATCTTTTCTTTGCATGCCAATATCAAATGAAAATTCATACAGAATTACCAAGGACGGATTCAAGAAATAAAGAGATCGAGGTCTGAAGATTCAGTCTCCTCATAAATTATTTCTGGATCCGTCCTTGTATATATGCAAAGGAGATATTTTAGATTGTTTGATTACCACTTAACTCTATATATTATTTGCTTTTAATTTTCATAGCTCTCTGTTTTTCTTTTAAAGTGTAGTAAGGGTTATGCTATGAATTCTCACCGGTTGCCAAGCAGGGCATGAAGCTTGATGATGAGATCTTCCTCATCTTCAGCAAAGTTGCCTCTTTTAAGGTCTGGCCTTAGATAATTTATCCACCTCAGCCTGCAACTTTTGCCGCAGCGAAGTAAGCCTGACAAAAAAAAAACCAAAATGTTATTAAGCGTATATATCAATTATATGAACCCTTAATTTTTCAATTAATCAAAATATAACAACTTAAAACACACGGGGAGTCTTTCTTAACATAAGAAATTGACATACACAAAACCCCTCAAAACATAAATAGGGATTTCCACGATACCTAATCCCCTACGAATTGCAATTCCCTATAATTAAAACCCAGAAAGAGAAAGGGCTAAAAAAGAAAACCATATATTAAAATTTAAATTTGTCCGCTCCCTACAGCTTTTTGTGAAAATGAATGTGACACAATGAATATGCATATACTTTGCAGCAGCAACAGAACCAAATTCATCAAGGACATAGTCAATTTTCGTATACACATTCACAATACACACACACGCACACAGAGGTATAGCGGGGGTTGAAAAGGGAAGAAAAAAACCTGCAGCTTGAGGAAGAGTGCGCCAGCAACCCTCGCCATGTTTCTTGATGTAATCAATAAGCTTCTGGTCTTCTTGTTTAGACCAAGCTCCTTTGTTCATGTCTTGCTTATCACAGCAAGGCTTCCTCATGTTCCTAATCCTTCTGGTCTCCTCCTCTTTCCTCTCTCTGCAACTAGTGCTTTCTTCAAAAGGCCAAATCAAACCCTAGTTAGCGAGAACAACTATGGGAACAAGAGAAAGAGAGAGCCGGGGGGGGGGGGAGAGATCTTGAGAGTACAACACAGAAACGGTGGTGGTGGCCTGGTGGGGAGGGGGCGATAAAGGTGAAGGAGAGGGAGTGAATATTATATATTAGGGTTGTAATTGGGAAGAGAAAGGGGTTGACTTGGACTGGTGGTTTTGGCCATCTGTTACTGCATGTGTTGTTGACTGAATCTGCCTTCTACTCACCAAGAAATGAAGAGATGTGTTGTTTTGGAAATAAAAGTTGGTGGGCGTCGTTGGTTGGCTCAAGTTTGCCGGTTAAGTATCAGTCAATATCTCTCCCTCAATACTCCTACAACGTAACGCAGGCTTTATGGGATTCTTTGTCTGGAACCTCTGTACATGACCTCGTATTGAGTTTGAGTTCGATAATGCATAGTACACAAAAGGCACATCTAATATACAGCTCATTCTTTTCTTTTCTTTTCTTTTTCCTTGGGGATATTTGAATTCGATCTACAATATCTATTCTACAAATTATTTTTTCCTCTTAATATTTGAAAATTCGCGACATTTATTTTTCTTGTATTAAAAGAATTACCAGACTCATTTTAACCAAAAAAATATTTATTATCTATATAATATAATTAGTATGAAACACATTATATTAGCTTTAAATATTTTTTTAGTTTAAAATAAACTGAAATTATTATTTTAAGGCTAAATTATATATAATCCCTGAGTTAGCGGATGACTTAAATTTTAGGAAATAATAATATTAACATATAATTCAAATTTTAATATTTTATTTGGGCATGAACACGTTATACTTTGTTATTCAAATAACGAAATAATATCAAGTACACAAACTCTCACTACTACAACAAAAAAAACATTTAAGGGAAGACCAACATCTATGCCATTGACGTAAAATGTAGAGGATTTCACAGTGGTTTAAGAACCGCTGTGGTATGTGACTTTTCACTGTGGTTATGTAAATAACCACCGTGAAATTTTTTTTAAATTTTAGTTTACGTTTCACCCTACTGATCAGAATGAAACGGGAGAACAAAATCTTGAAAGAAGTCTCTCACCAGTTAAAAGCATTATAATGGAACAAATATAGATTCTTTCCCGCCGTAATAGCATCACTTAGCTTCACCTTTAGCCACTAGATCGAAACCACTAAGATTTAATAAAGATAAAATCAAAGACTCAGATCTGATAAAATCAAAGACTCAAATCTGCTAAAAACCAGATTTCTTTAAACTCATATTAAACATCATATTTTTAACCAAAGAAAATAATCATATGAAACCACAAAAACTATGAAATCCACGGAAAGAATGGAGGTGAACAACTCACAAATAAGAATGAAGAGGATGAGGCAATGGCGACGGTAACAACGAAAGCAACGGTGATGGAAGAATATGGCGGAAATAATAGAAGCAATGGATAAACGCCGAGAAATGTAAGAGGAGGGAGAAAATCGAGTGAGGATGGTATGGGGGACTATGAGCTCTAACTCTGAAAAGTGAAAATTATCACGCGATGGATTTTGAAATTCTGATAGACTTTTTACGGCGGTTATTTAAAAAACCACTGTTAAAAGTATTTTTTACAGAGGTTATTTAAAAGTACACTTATAATTACAGAAATACCACTGTCATATTTTTTTACAATGTTTTTTCTAATAACCGCCATAAATTAGCATCGTGAAAACTCTTTTTTGTAGTAGTGTCTCAAGTTTAGAGGGTTAATTATTAAATTTTAGGGTTAAGAAAGTAATTTGCACATAAAGCAAAGTTTAAGAGCGTTGCACATAGTTTAGCCAAATTTTAAACACAAAATATAAACGCACCACCTCTTTAACTAATTTACACGAGCTACGATTAAATGTAAAAGGCTGACAGAAAAGATTGATTAAATGTTAAAGTACCCTTAATTAAATACAAATACACAATAAATTCTAAACCAATCTTACTCATCTCTTTTTTTGCCTAAGTATAGGTATTTTCTTATTATGAAAACAATCATGTTCAAAGTATTATTAGGTACTAAACGTGGGTATCTCTCCTAACAAAAATTTGAATATTGGTTCGTCATGTTGTAAGGAACTAACTCTTTTTGTTAAACCTAAAATTCACAATCTTACCCATCTACCACAACCTTCACCATGATCAATCAATATCCAGGGAACTATTTTTAAAAAATATTAATTGCTTTATAGATTTTGCAAAATGACTTATGAATAAAAATATAAAAAAATAATAAACATGACTTATTGATATGAACTAATCGACAGATTATAATTGAAATATATTTTGAACAGTTATTAGGATGGAGAGATTAAAAGCATAGCATAAGGTGAAAAAATAGCATCATATCATCAAGTGTGTATATATACTATATTAAATGCAAGCAAGCATGATACTCCTAAAATATATCCATCGATTTCAAAACTTTACTAGAGATCATGGATCAGAACAAACTAGTGATAAATCGCCTTCTTCCTCTTCTTAACTTATAGAAAAAGACTTGTAACTTTACCATTGCCCTTTGCCCCACTTCTCGGCCTCAACTTTATCCTCTTTGTGAATTATGCAATAATTTTTTTTTTCGGTATCATGTACGAACTTCTAAAATATATCCATGAATGATGACAACATAAATTTCAAAAGTTCAACCAAATGATTGTGTTGCGTAAAAAGATTTGCTATCTTTTGCAAAAGGTTGATAGTTCGAATAACGTAACCTTATAGAGAGGGGGGAAATGCTAGAGAACTGCCCCGGTTAGTATCGTTTATATTTCAAATTGTGATTACAAAAGAAATAACATTATTATATATAAATCTAGTAATAGAAAACTACATAATATAATCTTTGATACTTTAAGTTTGCTCTCATTTTGATTTCGATTTTAGTCTATTAAGTTTCAAACAATATAATAAGTTTTGGTCCCTCAAAGGATAAACTGATTAATATTTTTATTGAATTATAAAAACTAATATTTTAAATAAAAAAACTTAAGGGACTCAAATCTATAGTTTGAAATTTGAGAAACTAAAACCAAAATAAGAGTAAATTTGAAGGAACAAAAATTATATCAAACCTAAATATATATTCTAAAATAACATATGAAATCTTCACTCTTCATCAACGTCCTTTTCTAGTTTTCTGTACGCTAATGAAAATCGGGGGAAGATCTCTGATAGAAAATTACATTTGTCTCGCGACGTAGTTGACCTTATCTGCAGGTGTATAACGTGGAGAAAAGTACCTTTACCAAAGGTGATCAATACTCTTATCCCTAATTACAAATTCCCTTCAGAGATTATTAGGATTCAATGATTCTTGATAAAGCTTAGGGTTATGATGTTAAAAATAATACTCAGGTCTTTAATATAAGACATCATTAACTAATTTGAATAGATTAAGATGTTAGTTAAATTAGTTAATATGATATGTTTTTTTTTCTAAGATACCCTAAGCATTTGTCTTCATTTCCTCCATCCCCCTCCTACTTTGTTATTATTGAGAGAATATTAATAGGTTCATTTGAGAAAAAATTGATAAACATATAAAATAGGTATTATATATAGGACCAATATAAATTTTTCAATTAGGTCCTACATTAAAAACCGGAGAAGTATTAATTACATCATATACCATGATGATGTCGATCTCACTTGCGTATCAAAATTTTAATATCCAAAATTAGTATTAGAATCCTCGTTCTGTATAAGTTTCTCAAATTAATTATATTCATACACACACACTGAGGATACTATATATGCAGATTCGTTTTATTAATTAGTTAATTTCCAAGAGAAATTGCAGACAGTCTATATATTTTCTAATAATAAGATCATTAATAATTATATATGAAATATAATGTATCCACATTGTGCCTTTAATTTAGTCTCTCTGTCCATCTAAAGTAGCAGGGATTGCCGGTTGAAAAAGAGTTTAAACAGTTTAATTGGTGGGATAATCAGTCACATGGTTCTGTGTTGACTGGTAGTTTTCTTGGCCATCCTCTTTCTCATAACCTGTATTCAATATCTAATAATCCAACTTAATTACAGGTTTGACCCCATCGCAAATACTAGTATATATAACACAAAAGCCACTAATTAATTTGCATGGTCCTAATGAAATATATCTGGACTCAAATTTTCATAGCAAGCTATAAGCTTTGTTATGAAAAAAATTTACTTTTTTTTTTTTTTAATTTGCAAGTACTAACTTCCCAGAGGACACGATTGGACTACCACTACGTAATCAGTTAGGTCAAGTAAATACTTGATATGCTTTAAGCAATAAGTTTAAGGGTTTAAATTTTGCGGATGGAAAACAATCACGTCAGAAATGTTATTTTCATTTAGATTCAGCAATGTTTAAATCTGCTAATCCATTAATATTAAATATCAGATAATGGCATTGTATTTAACCCAAAAAAAAAAAATCAGGCAATGGCATACAAAAATTAAAACATGTACGTATAATAACATAAATGGTGAGATCAGTGCAGAAGTTTGGTTGTTGAAAATGTATATTCAATATTCATTCAGTAACAACAACCATATCCAATAGTTCTTCTTCTTTCTTTTTTTTAATACGTATCGAAAGATATAATTAATTTTCAGAACCTCTTTACCAAAAAAAAGATCGTGGCTATTATTATAGAAATAAATTGCTAAAAAAGATTATATTTTTATTATATACATATATATTCTTTTTGGACAGTACAAAAGTTAAATTAGCAATGGTAAATTTTATGAAGTAAAAGAGAGCTGTGGTTAATTATGATTGGAATACATGACAAATTAAATAAATTCAGTTTTCGGCGTTTATGTGCAATTAGGATTCAACGGTACATGTTAGGGTTAACGGTAGAAGATGTTACGCACATAACCACATTTTTTTGGGATAATGTTCTTTCTATGTTGTTTCCTTTCTCTTGGACTGTTTCAATGTAAGCTATTTTTGTAACTCAATTACCATACGGAAAGAATGAATTACACCAAAATGTGAAGTGGATAGCCATGACCAAC